CACTTACTTTCAGAACTGGAGACTCAAATTAAACATCACAAAGATAGTCAGTAGCACCTTCCACCCTGCCAATGAACTCACCAAAACAACACTGAATGTCAAGGGTGGAACAAACTCCATCCCTTTTAAAAGCCACCCAAAGTATTTTGAAGTCACCCTGGACCACACCCTGACCTACAAGATACATCTTACCCAACTGGCAGCCAAAGTACAACATGCAACACTCTGCTCCATTGACTAGCTGGCCTCAGATGGTGAGTTAACCCCACCGTATTTCAGATATCCACCCTGGCACTGGCATACTCAACAGCCGAATCGTGTGTTCCATTGTGGTGTAGAACTGCCCATAATCACAAAGTCGACAGCGCACTCAGCAATAGCATGTGAGTCATATCTGGCTGCATCTACTCTACCTCTACATCACAGCTCCCATTCGTCAGCGGTATTGCTCCCCCTGACATCCACCCTGAGCAGCAATGCCTCTGCCTCCTTTGCCATGCTGAACTAGACCATAATCACTACCTACATCAGCACATCTGCTCAGACTCTCCAGTAGGGCAGCACCTCTAATCTAGGAAAACCTTCATTGCCTACCTGCACCACCTGTACTCTGTTTCCAAAGGTTCTTCCCCACATGACTGGGCTACACAACTATGGGAAGAATGATGGGCCTCTGAGAACTGCAGACTCAAAACATTCATCCCAAACCCCTCTGCAAGACCTCCCAGCTTTAATTTAGACAAACTCTCCTGGGTCCACCTCAGTAGACTCTGAACTGGTTATGGCTGCTTATCTCATAACATGCATCAAATCGGCCTGACACCAAGTGCCACTTGTGAATGTGGCGCCCCCTCACAGTCTGCACACCACATAGTTACTGAATGCCCTATCTTCCATTACCATGGAAACCTCAGTGCCCTTGACAACCCATCTCGATCCCATCTCAGCTGTCCAATGTGAAATATGATTCTAGCACACTGTTTTTGTCATCCGAAAAAAAAAGTTGGTCTAATAAAATATCATATTTACTCAAAGAACCTTGCTTGCCTATGTCTTTAGACCAACATGGCTATAACCAACACCCCTTATACCATTCTTTAACTCAGAGGAGAAGTGGCATGCCCTTCTCAAGTACCTTGGCAAAGGTTTTCTATGGTCTAGCATGTTGGATGCTGAATTCATGGATACAAATGCTGAATTCATTTGCAGCTATTGACAGATTTAATTTATGTTAATAAGTTGGTGTCTTATTGCTGCTTTTATCCTAAATATCGAACATCCACATTCACCCATATCCATAGCTAAAAACATTCAGATTCCTTAAATTTCAGAAGGAGAGGTTTTTCCTTCTTTTTTCCCCCCCCAGATTACCAGATAATGCAATGATTTCTTTTTAGGTCAATTTCTTATAGAGAAGGATACCGTTTATTTAGTGAGGAAAGTGTATATCAATGTTTCATTTTTAAGATGTTTGTTACTATATAACTATTAAAAACTATACCATTGTTATGGAAAGTACACGGGTGCACAGTGCGTCATAAAATAATATTTCATGATCCATGATAGTGTATGTACTTAAGTGGTGCATGGTATTTAGAATGGTCTGGATACTGATTTACATTTCTAAGTGTCTTTCAACATAGAGTAGGCACTTTCAACATGGAAATCTGCAGGGAGTGGGAGATGGAAAGAATAATCATGTCACATTTAAGCACGTATGATTCGTTTCCATAGGCAAAGGTTAGAGATTAACATATTCAGAGTTTAGTTCAGCAATAAATGAAGATTGGTTGGGGTACTAAGTTTCTGGGGGAAGCATTGGCTACTGTGTACAGCAGCAGCCTCTTGTGGTCTAAGAAAAGATATTAAGTAGCGTTTATAAGCAGGGGTGGAAATATGTTTTTTAAAAGCATGTATGTACATATTTAGCTATTTGACTCAATTCTCAATTCAACACATTAAAAAACAGATGCTTTTAAAATGATCTGCTGGCAATATGCTTGTTAAAATCTGATCAGTGAGAATATTAAAATTCATTATGCATTAATTAACACATTATATAAAAGTAAAATGTTTTTGTTTCATCATTTTACAAAGAATTATAGTAAATGCTGAATACCAGGGAGTTTTTGCCTTGGTCTGTGTTGCTGAAAAGAAACTAAATTTATAGGATTATTATTAAATTGATGACATTTTCTGTCTTCACTCTTGAATTCAGTTGGCAGATGTTTTCAAGAACAAAAAATTCTGTCTTATTACAAAACATATTAAGCAGGTTTTTCTGCCATAATGTTTGACATGATGTTTATTGCCCAGACCAAATCAATCCCTTTAACAAGCTTTAAAGTATGCCAGCAAGTATATTATTTCGTAGTTAAAGAAACTTGCAGCATGAAACAATAAGTACTTTGATCTCTCAAGCTCTGCTCTTAATACACTACACAATCTGATAATTAGCCATTCTTTTTATATGCATCTGGTAGGTAAAATATATTTCATTTTGCAATCAGCTTAGGGTCTTTGCTCTTACTTGCTCCTATGTATCTTGCTTATTTGCATATGTTAGAATTTTTTAAAAAAATACTTGAAAGAAATGTACATTTGAAAAGGAAGTAGGTAAGGAAACTAGCTTAAATAATCAAGTTAGGTTTTTTTAAATCTTCAAAATACTGGATATGCAAGTTAAAACATCACTCTGGCAGCTTAATTTGTTCAGCCAGCACTTACTCATCAGATCACTGTAGGTCTCAGTGACCCTTAGAGAGTATAACTGGAGTTGTCTATTCCCACTAATTAACAGTCTTCAACAGTTTCTCCAATTCGCATGGCACAAATTTTCCTTCAACATTAGAAATTCATGTCTTTTCTTATTACCTATTTGTACTTCAGTACTTTTATTTTCCATGGCCCACGTGAGAAAACCTTATGTCTGCATTAATTTTGGGGCATCTTTTTACCTCCCTCCATATCAGTCTACCCAATGGAAAAATGGATATAACAATTAATTCTTGCCTCACAACCAGGGTCTGCAAAAAAAGCCTTTGCATGACACACTACCGAAGTAAACTGTCATTCTATAGTATTTTGGGAGAGTGACAAAGAAATGTAGTTTTTTCTTCTTTCCTAATCTCATAGAGTAAATAGCAAATGTTTCTACACTGATGCGTTGAACGAAATGTGAAGCAAATTGCCAGACTTCAGAGTCAACAGCATCACAGCCTATCCTGCTTGAAATTAATTCAGTAGACACAGGAATGGACCCACAATGTATGCTATGTAGTTAGACTTATTCTGGTTTTTCCAGATTTTTTTTAAAAAGGAAGTTCAATATGAAGTTTTGAAATATGTATTCATTGGCCAAGAGAACAGTGCATCTTGCAATTTACATGTGCTCTGGGCCAAGCTGCTTAAAGTTAAATTTCATGCCCTGCCATGCAAATCAGCCATATGTAGAAAGATACCACAGATGAAAAAGAAAGGTGAAAGTGTCCTTTAGAAGTAGTGCAAATCCTAACAGCCAATGCCAGATTGCTGGCACAAGCCTTGGGAAGAAAACCCGCCTCTGGACAGTATCACAACATCCATTAACCCACGGGCACACTCTCCAGGTGAACAATAATGCCTCTCAAAGAGGCTGAGATTGGTTGATGGGCAAACTCAAAAAAAGCAGCAGCGAAGAAAAGTAGTGCCCTTTTGGTTTCTTTCTGTGAACATGTCCTCATTGTTCTGCACCTCCAACTAACAATTTATTTCCTCAAAGTACAATAATGTTGCTTGCTAACTCTTTTCATGGCCAAGGTATGATAGTTTTAACTAGACAGTACAGCTTTTTCTTCTATAAATTATTATTATACTAAACCATAATTACAAGGAACACAAAATTAAAATTAACATGATTTTGACATCTATTTTGCTGGACTTTTATTTATTTCTCACACACATTTTTACTATTTTAACTACACCATGGCATTTCTGACACGTTTTACTGTTGAATAAAAATGCTAACTTTCATAATAAGGGCTTTGAAAACTGCATGAATCTGTCTAGAATGTATAATGCATAGTATGTATATGAAGTAGAATGTGTCAAAGTGCAAATAATATTGTTTGTGCCCCCTGCAGAATTAGAAATCCTTGGGTAGCACTGTTATAACGATCCCATGCTGCTAGCATTACAAAGTGCAAAGGTTCACTGAGTAAGAAAAGAGCAAGGGACAGAGTTTCCTCATTACACCATTCTTGAACTATTCTAGCTTAAATATTTATTAAGATATTAATAACTCTCTCTCTTTATCTGCCTTCAGAAGTTTAGCTGAAATACAATGGATGGCTGCTCATATGAAAACAATACGTTACCAGAAAAAGCTGCTACCACACAAGATGAACACCAATATTTGCACAATATACCATTAATTCAGTAGGTATATGTTAAAAAAATTATCAGGCCATAACTATTGCCTCACAAATATATAGAACAATGTTATGCTACAAATGCATGCATGGAAACTTATATTTTT